GAGGACGCGATTGAACAAAAGAGTTTGGCCTGCACCACTCATACCCAGCAGGTTGGGTTCTTTCATGTAAAATGTCAGTAGGTGTGGTCGTTTCATCAAAGTCAAGCGTGACACTACTTATTGCACTGAAGTCCGTTCAACCTGTAAGTGGTTTCTTACTCTTGATGCACAGGCGGAATTTGCTGAAGGATAACATTAACAGAACCATCCGTGGGGTAGTGAACCTCACGCCAGCAGTTATGTGCCTGCGCAGTCGGAACTTCGACAGCGAGCCCGCGGGGAGAGAAGGAGAGAAGGCGAGTGGAGGGAAGCGGAAGGGAGAGAAAGTGAGGGGAGCGGAGGGGAGCGGAGCGGAGGGGAGCGGAGGGGAGCGGAGGGGAGGGGAGCGGAAGGGAGGGGAGGGGAGCGGAAGGGAGAGAAAGGGAGGGGATGAGATAGGAGGGGAGCGGAGCGGAGAGAAAGGGAGAGCAGGGGAGGGGAGAAGAGAGGAGAGAAAGGGAGAGCAGAGTAGAGCAGAGCAGAGCAGAGCAGAGCAGAGCAGAGCAGAGCAGAGCAGAGCAGAGCAGAGCAGAGCAGAGCAGAGCAGAGTAGAGTAGAGCAGAGCAGAGCAGAGCAGAGCAGAGTGGAGGAGGGAAGGGGAGGAGGGGAGGGGAGCGGATGGGAGCGGATGGGAGCGGATGGGAGCGGAGAGAAGAGAGGACTCCGAGGAGAAATGGGAAGAGGCGAGATGAGGAGGGAAGGGAAGGGAAGGGTAGGGAGAGGAGAGAAGGGAGAGGAGAGATGAGGAGAGATGAGGAGAAGACAAAAGAAGAGAGAAGGGAAGGGGAGATGGGAGGAGAGGAGAGAAGGGAGGAGAGAAGGGAAGGGGAAAGGAGCGAAGGGGAGCGGGGCGGAGAGGGGAGCGGAGTGGAGTGGAGAAGGAGAGGAGGGGAGGGTAGGGACAGGAGAGGTGATCAGATAAGTAACATGAATGACGGCACATCAAGGTGAGGTGAGGTGGGGTTAGCGTCCGATCCGATCTGAATCTGATATCCTCTTCTCTTCTCCTCTCTTCTCCTCTCCTCTCCTCTCCTCTTCTTCTCTTCTCTTTTTCCTCTTCTCTCCTCTCCTCTTCTCTTCTCTTATCTTCTCTTCCCTTCTTTTCTTCTCTCTCCTCGGAAACGGTGTGCAGAGGGAATCAGCTGTTCTATGAAATAAAACAATGTCGAGGAGTATGAGTCAATAATCTCCTTTGATCCTGACAGCCTCCTCCTTCTCTTGAGCCCCCCCCCCCCCCCCCTCCCCCTCCATCGTGCTGTGCGGATCTGGACCTCCTTCGTTGTCCTCCACCAAGTTTTCTCTTGGTTCATGTTCGTCGACGCGTCTTTCAACAGTGTTGTACTCGCAATGCTCGTCATCTTTGTTCTGTTATCCTCGTCCTTCCGACGCGGCGTTTCGTCCTTGTTCTTGACTCTCCCTCATCCTCTCCGTGTTCCTGCTGGAGAGGAGTTGAGCTAGGGACCAGGCATCAAGCGTCGTGATCTAAGTTCACCAGCAACCCGAACCTGCCGGTCATCGGGTCTCCGTGCTTATTCTGAACGCCTTGAAACCGATCTAGCACCTGCGAGAAATGCTTGGGAGACGCTCTCTGTTCGCCAACCTACGAGACAGGTCGAAGCAGCGACTCTAGTCAAACTTGTTGTAAGGTCTTGTCTCTTGAGGTCTCGTACAGTCTTGTTGATCCTCCTTTCGTAGGTGTGTGGACGGTACAGGTAGATGATGCTGTTCGTCAAGCCCAGAAACGCGACGTCATCTACCACCTTTATCCTCAATGTTAAGTTAAGTAAAAATTGATTGTTAGTTTTCTTAAAGCCAAAGTTTGAAGAGTAAGTGCTTCAGTGCTGGCTATGAGTGATTTGCTTTCAGCACATGTCTAGACATGTACACAGAGGGTTAGCCCCATAACACTCAAGTTGTGATCTCTCCTTGCCGCGACAAAACGCACAGACCTTGCGGGGAGGGGGACATGTCCAAATGTCATCCTTTCTGCTGGACAGCAGACATGTCTGAATGTCTTTATGTCTGCTCGACAGCAGACATGTCTGAATGTCTTCATGTCTGCTGTCAAGCAGACATGTCTGCTGCAGACATGGATCAGGCTCGATCAGGCCACTTTGCGACGGAGAGCACGAGCCTGAGTAGTGTCTTGACAGAGAATTGCTCCGCACACCCAGAGGACGCAAGTGTTGGAGAGGAGGAGGAGGAAGAGGAGGAGGAGGAGAACGAACCTACAGCACCATGTAAGCGTACGTCCTCCTCGCTGTCCCGCTTGTTGAGATTTTGTCCTGTGAAATTGTTTTTCTGTCTATGAATGATCATGGGGCGGACTTGCCTCGTAGGTCCGGGAAAGCGCTAATGCCCTCGTGGCGGCTGAGCTGGCTGACAGGGGCAGGGGGAGGCATGCTGGTGCTGCAGGCGGCGGTGCTGACTTACCTCTCCCACCCTCGGCCTGCCAGCCTTCATGGCTTGAACAGCAAGATGAAAACTCGGCGCCAAAGTCGAGCATGTAGCCTAGACGGCTCAGTGTACAGGTGCACGCAAGTAGCAGGTGAGCCCGAGCAGCGACGACCCGACGCTGATGCTTGAGCAGGGTTTAGCCTCAAAGGCTTCAATGACCCAAGTCCGAGACTAGACTGTCTGACGGGCAAGGAATCGTGGAGAATATGCAGCAACGGAGAGTTCTTGTGCTTGGATCCGTCCTCGCGCTTGCTGTCTGCGTCTCAGGCGAAGGCGGCGAACGTCACGAGCAACTACTGCTACCTGGCAGGAGCATGGTCCATGTGCAGGCCTCTCGAGTACGCGCGAAGCAGGTATCGTGACTGTCTGGACAGCTTCTTCTCGCACGGCATCTGCACGCCAGGGGAAACTCTGTGTGAATGGCGGGAGATGAACGTAGGGGAGACCGAGTCGTTGAGATCGAGAATGCAGGTAGAGGAACCGAGCTCGCGATGTCTCAGTCAGGCGCTGCCGCAAGGAGAGGTACATGTCGTGGTCGCCATGCGAGACGCGTCGCCGACGATGAGGGTGGTGGAGGACGTCGGGCTGATGGGGTTGACCAACAGCCTCGTGCTGCTCTACAGGCGAGCTGACGTGGGCTTGAACCTAGCAGGGATGCTCTCGTCTCCTCTGGTCGCTGGCTTCCCATGTGGCATCACAGTGCAGGAGAAGCTTCTGGCGCCGAACAAGGGCAACGAGGCTGCAGTGTACCTGGCGTACATGGTGGAGTACTACGACAAGCTTCCCTCCATGACCGTCTTCCTACACGATCATGGACATACAAGCTGGCACAGCCAGCTGAGGCCGGTTTTCAAGCGATCTCGCGCGTTCTACCTCCTGGTCGCCTCGCGTCTGAGAGACAGAGAGAGCGGCGCGCTTGTGTATCCGGAGATTGCGAAGCTTGCGGCCTACTCGTCGCTCGTAGGCTTCATAGATGAGAATCCGGTGACGTTGAACAGCTGCTACTGCCACGAGCTTCGTGAGCCGCTCTGCTTTGTCTCATATACAGTGAACGACTACGAGAGGGAGACGAACAGGTCGATACACGACACAAAGAGCCAAGCAGTGCTTGATAAAATCTATCGAGCTGTAATCTCGCTGAGGGAGCGATCGAAGCCGTGGGACAGGAGAGGTCGGCGACTGGTGTGGGAGGAGCCTCCAGAGGTATTCCAGCAGTCAAAGAGGCTCTTTGAAAGCATAGAAAGAAGGTTCGGACGAACAAAGAGCGGACCCTCGATCCCGTTCGCGTCGTGCTGTGCGATGTTCATAGCGCAGAGCAAGCACATCAGACGACAACCGAAGCAATTCTACAATGAGAGCTTGCGCGCGATCCTGTCTACTCCTCTCCTCTCTTACCACACAGGTCGATGGTTCGAGTTCCACTGGGACGACTTGTTCTTGGATCCGTCGGGGGCAAGGGATCCAGCGAGGAGAAGTCTTTACGTCGATATCGACGACGTGTACGCAGAAGTCTATGGCGAGACCAACAGGCTCGCTGATCTCCAGCAGCTCATTGACTCGTAACGGGCTTGTCTCCAGCAGCACTTAGTCAGCTGGACGCGAGCTCTCTCGGTCGAGGAGCGGGAACGATCAGCACTTAGTCAGCTGGACGCGAGCTCTCTCGGTCGAGGAGCGGGAACGATCAGCACTTAGTCAGCTGGACGCGAGCTCTCTCGGTCGAGGAGCGGGAACGATCAGCACTTAGTCAGCTGGACGCGAGCTCTCTCGGTCGAGGAGCGGGAACGATATTGTGCAGTTGAAAGAGTCCAATTGGTGCGAGAACAACTGGATCTTCAACATGTCGATTCTCCTCAATGACGGGTTCGTTCAGCGGATCAGTATCCTAGGACGGGGGGGTGGAGTTCTGATCCGAGCTCTCAGGGGCGGGCATTCGATACATGTCGAGAAACGACTTCTCGACCTGCAATGATCCCCCCTGCTGCCCGTGCGCATGAATGACGACTATGTGACTCGGATCATGGATGACCAGGATATGCCGGCGAACATGCAAGGGGACGGCGGCGGTCCGGGTGCGATCTGTGCGTCCCTGATCTTGTTCCTGGTCTGCTGCCTGAAGGTCTTGGAGGATGTTTGGAGGGGAACAAGATAGAACCAATGAAGCATCCCGATCATGGACATGAAAAACCTTCAATGGCATGAATGCGGACCAGGAGAACGTCACCTACCCGAGGAAGCCGCTACCGCCAGCACAGCCTCCCCAGATCGACAACATGTTCTGCCTGTGCTGTATTTTCACCGAGCAGGTGCTGACCACCTGCCTACAAGAAGCGATGACTTACAAGAAGCGATGACTTACAAGAAGCGATGACTTACAAGAAGCGATGACTTACAAGAAGCGATGACTTACAAGAAGCGATGACTTACAAGAAGCGATGACTTACAAGAAGCGATGACTTACAAGAAGCGATGACTTACAAGAAGCGATGACTTACAAGAAGCGATGACTTACAAGAAGCGATGACTTACAAGAAGCGATGACTTACAAGAAGCGATGACTTACAAGAAGCGATGACTTACAAGAAGCGATGACTTACAAGAAGCGATGACTTACAAGAAGCGATGACTTACAAGAAGCGATGACTTACAAGAAGCGATGACTTACAAGAAGCGATGACTTACAAGAAGCGATGACTTACAAGAAGCGATGACTTACAAGAAGCGATGACTTACAAGAAGCGATGACTTACAAGAAGCGATGACTTACAAGAAGCGATGACTTACAAGAAGCGATGACTTACAAGAAGCGATGACTTACAAGAAGCGATGACTTACAAGAAGCGATGACTTACATCTCCTACTTGTGCTGAGCTCTTTGGGTGATGACATGAGCTCCACAACCCCGTTGCCCCGGCTCTCCAGATTCTTCATCAATGATCTCAGTGGCCTTGGAGCGCTGTTTTCACCTCGTCCCCCACACCTAGTACCGGGGAAGACCGGTACGGTCGGCGATCAGCCGGCTGCTGGCGCCTCAGGTCGCTGGGGAGCAGATACGAAGGAGCAAGAGAGAGAGAGAGGTGGTAGATTGCGACACGCCGGTTAGTTCTCCTGCCCCGCAGCTCCGAGTCTGAGTGCAATCTCTGAGAGTCGTACCGGGCCCCGGGCACGGTAGCCGGCCCGGGCCCGGCCTCTGGCCCGGCCTACCCAGTTACGGTCGGCCAGCTGAGCGGCTTTCAGTCGCGGTTGACTAATTTTAGCCTCGTGCCTTGCACGTGCAGATACCTGACCTACCCCACCTCCCTTTCCAATCGGACGTCCAGGATGCTGGTAATGTACCGGTACTGTCACAATATACCCCCACTTTTGTATCACCCCACCCTACATTTTAGAGTAGAATGCGAGGTGTTCTAGAGGAGATCACCCACCCCTACTAACGATATATACCCTACCTACCATACAGATGAAATATTCCCTACCCCCCCTCCTACCCACCTGGCTCAGATTTGCAATAAAGAAGAGAAGCTTCCCTCCCCTGCATCGACTCCATGGCTGCACGAGCCGCGTACAGGAGGTGAGGGAGGGAGGCGGAGAGAGGAGAGAGGAGGAGGAGGGAGAGAGGAGCGAGGAGCGAGGAGCGAGGAGGCGAGTTGCGGGGGAGAGGTGTGAAAACAGGGAGGAGAGGAGGGGATGGTGCGTCTTGCATGTCTTCTGATCTTGTTGTCAGGTTGATGCGAGCTCGTGAGCTAGTCTTCAGGAACGACCTGCTGATGCTCGCAGAGTCAAGGAGGGAGCTGAGGAGATACTTCCTTGAAAACCGCAATGTGTCGGATCCAGAGAAGCTGAAGCAGCTGATGCAAGATGTGGACGAGGCAGAGGAGATGCTGAGACATCAGATCGTGCAAGGAGAGCGGAAGGGAGACGGGGAGTACGCAATGAACATCGACCCAACGCGACATGTCACCATGGATCCGAACAAGCTTCCAGGACAGAAGTGAAAGAGGTGAGGAGTGAAATCGCATTCTCCCTGCTGTCTTGTCTTGATGCCCTATGTGTTTGTGTCCGTGAGGCTGTGAGGACAACCTATCCTCAAAACTATGATTGCGCGTTGATTACAACTTTACACCAGACTTGCCTGAGCCTCGCACTAGTTGTTTCTCCTCTCCCTCACCTCCTGCTCCCACTTACTCTGATGGCAATTTTGTTGTTTTCACAGTGGAGTCTTCTGTCTGGTTGGGTTTTCAGAGAGCAAGGTGCTGATGTTCCCTGTGTTGTTGTTGGCAACGAGCGGTGAAGAAAGAAAGGATTCTGCCAGTTCTGCTTCTGATCTATCTTGAAGTTACCGTCCTTTGATTTATCTGAGTTCTTTGCCCTTCCTCCCCCCATGTTGCGCAGCTCTCTTCCTAGTTGACATGCTTGTTTCCTAGTGAGCCAGATGTGCCCTCGGTACATGGTGCAAGCACAAGGTTAGGGGAGCTTTGGAACTCACCTACTCCACCCCACTCTCTGCGTTTGATGAAATAAGCGAACGGGCGGACTGACATCCGAATGCTGATTGTTCAATGTGTGTAAATTTATTCTGACGCACGTGCCCACCCTCCTCTCCTCCTCCTCTTGTGTTGCTGTGCCCTGACAATATACTGCAACAGATACCGAGTTTCTGCTCCTCGTCGGGTCCAGCTCAAGGTCGGTTTGCTGCCTCTTTCCTTGTGTCCTCCTTCCCACTCCGACCTGATGACCGAAGTTGTCGCCCCAGGCAGAAAATTATTTGGTGTTGATAGACAGTGGAAATGCCAAACTCCCTATCTGATCGGAACTCCTCCCCCACCCCCTCCCCGATTGACTACAATGGCCCCGTGCTGATGTGGCCCTGCAGGTTGGGAACTTGTCAGCTGCCGCGTCGACTGCCTCAGCTGGAGGTGAGCTGAGCTGCGTTTGATGCGTGTGGGGAGTTGAGGGACGATGACAAAAGATGGGAATCTCTCTGATGCGTTGATGATGATACAAGTTATCAGGATCAACCACCTGACCTCAACCTTGTTGTCTCTTGTCTTTGTCAACCCACGTGAACTTGCCTGACCTCGTTGATCGCAGGAACTCGAGAGCGAACATGATGATGGTGGGTTACACTACCTCCTCGTCCTCTCCCCCCCTTCTCCCTGTTCCTCCCCTACGATGGCGAAGATCGATACACTTTTCGTCTCATCAACATTCGCAGTTGACCCCTCTAGAGTGAGAGCCTTTAGCCGGGGTCGCACTCTATGAGAGCCTTATCTTCCTTGGATGTCTGAGCCATCTCCCCTCCTCCCCCTCCCTCCTACCCCGCCTGAGTCTGGCCCTGACCGTATCGTCTTCAGGTCAAGAGCTCCCGTCGCAAGCTTGGAATCTTGAGATAGAGGTGATTTTTGCTTGACCTTTTGTCTGCGTGTATGCTGTTGGTGCTGTCGGCGTGAGGAGCAAACCTTCTTTCCCCAAATGATCGACTATGATTCTGTGCAAGGCTGCCGTTCTAAGCCAGTGCGGACATGCCTCCTGATCGACTTGTTGCTCTGCTAGTCTACATGCACACCCGCGCCGTGTCTTTGTCTGAATCGTCTCTTGCAGTCGATCATGAAGCTTCCTGTCGGGTTGTTGGCCGCATGAGAATGGTTAGTACCGCCCGCCCGTCTTACTGCTCCACACATGTCATGGCGAAGATCGATACACTTTTCGTCTCATCAACATTCGCAGTTGACCCCTCTAGAGTGAGAGCCTTTAGCCGGGGTCGCACTCTATGAGAGCCTTATCTTCCTTGGATGTCTGAGCCATCTCCCCTCCTCCACCCCTCCCTCCTCACCTGCTCCCAGCAACCTGCCTGACTGCCTGCTGCAGGGCCTTGACCCGAAGACCTTGCTCCCTTCGCTACAGGTGACGAAATTTCTTGTCTGCGTGTATGCTGTTGGTGCTGTCGGCGTGAGGAGCAAACCTTCTTTCCCCAAATGATCGACTATGATTCTGTGCAAGGCTGCCGTTCTAAGCCAGTGCGGACATGCCTCCTGATCGACTTGTTGCTCTGCTTGTCTTGGAAGCCAAGGGAAGTCGAGCAATCTGACAAGTCGTAAGCAGGACTGGAGAGTCTTGGACGGACGTACATGTCCCGAGTGAATTAAACCCTGTTAGCTAAAGGGATTAAATAAAATGTTGTAACATGTCCTTTCCTGATGAGTGTATCGATGTGAGAAGATAGACCGCACACTTGTCGTCGCTTGCGTTTATTGTCCCTTGCTCATGCGCTAGTGTAGCCTCTGCAGCTCTTCGATCTTCCTTGAGAGCTCTTCCACTGTGATGCTGCCGATGGCGTGGCAGACCTTGAAGGGTGTGAGTCTCAAGGAGCCGAGAAACAAGTCAAACCTCCTCCATCTTTTCTCTTCTCAGGTCCAGGAAGGACTCGATCAAGTCTCCATCTATGAAGCCCTTGGGTGCCCGCGCTCCCTGCCAACTTGAAAGTCACACGATGCTGAACTAGTCTGACCCTCTCACCTGCGTCCGCTCGTTCTCAAAGGATCGCCAGTCTTCATGTCGAAGGCCCCCAACTCCCTTGATGACGAAGTTCAACGCATCCTGCACCTGCGCATCCATCGTCAGGCACGTCACACTTGCTGTCCCGTCCTACTTTGAGCAAGAACTCGTATTCCTCCTTGGAGAGCACGGCAATGACCCCGATCATCCCGTTCACTGCGACTCGGCATCACCTCCCCTATCTCTTCGCTCAGAGCAAGAGACCTGTGCCGAATATGATGGTGTCTGTTGTCGGCGTGTCACTGCTTCGAAGAACAAGTGATCCCCTTTGGAAGCTGCGATGTCACTGTCATAATTCACGCAACAGGATAGACAGGATGGAGGGCAGCCATTGGAGGTTCGAGAGGGCGATGTGGAGCATACCGGTTCACCATGTCCCCCAGGTGATACTCGCCGACTACTTCAAGCCTCGCGCGTTCTTCGTCGGATGTTGCATCTGTGTTCTTTCTGACTGTGAACAAGTTGAAGTATCCTTCGGCCCCTGAGCAGTCTGTCAAATCATTGAGAGGCCGCATCGAATCAAGTACCCAGAAATGTGTCGTCGTCGAGGATGTCCACTGCAGTCATCCAGTTGGCATTGAAATCTCTCGCGATCTCCTCGATCTGACCATCCACTTGCTTGTAGGTGAGCAGTGAGATTGAGCGCATCAGATCGCCCGCAACGATAAAATCCCCGCGCGTTTGAAGGTAGAGCACAAGGATGTGGCCGCGATGACAGCACTCCGATACAAGTTCCCTGACCCAACCTGTCAGACCCACGAAAGCTCCATGACTTCCAAGTCTTACATGTGACCCGTGTCGGAGTCGGACAGGCGAAAGAGCTCGATCTTTGAGTTGATCCCAGCCAGCAATTTTCCGTTGAACGGTTTAATCTGTCATAGCCGTCACGGGCTTCCGGCCCAACTTCCATTCTTGCCTGATAGGGAGCCCCCTTGATCTCCTTGGAGGCTTTCAGGTGCAATTTCCTATCGATCACTTCGAATACCAACAGCCTTCCTTCCTTGGGCTCCGACTCCTACCACCCGTCAGGCTGCAACCTACAATTCTTCGAGCCTGTCCCACCTGTGGTACCGCAGTCGCAGTTCCAACAATGTAGTACAGAGTTGGGTCATCACTAAAGGATGCGCATTCGACGCTACAAGTGTTCTCGAACTCTTGAAGTTGGTACGTGTCAAGAATCTGAAGATGAACAATGAGGAGGCTTCAGATTCATCCGCACACAACTCAAACCTCAAAAGTCTGATCATCGAAGAGCTTGATGAACTGCTCCTCAACTTCTTCTCCGTCCCGATTGATCCTGATACTGAGAGTAGCAACACAGAACGTTTTGGATGATTCTTGGTGGCAAATCCGCCTGGAAGTGGGACTGTCAACAACGCAATCTGGGATAACGACGCCTCACCTTGGTTGTTCCCTTAGATATACAGTTCGAATATGAAGCTTTTGAATGTCATCAATCACACCGATACGGAGACTCGTCTCTGTAGCGATTGCAAGCGAGTCTGGAAATCCTTCTGAGTTGAACGGGGCCATTTGGGTGACCTCCTTGAGGTTCACATTGGAGAACAGAAGCTTCCTGTTGTTGCTGTAGATCACTGTGGGTCGATCAGATGCAGCGAAGACGTGTGTTGCTCCTCTCGACATGAACTTGCTGAGGATCATTGGGTGAGTTCCCAATGAGATTTTCTTTCGCTCTCCTATCTGAGCAGTTGAAGCATCAATCGCAAAGGTGAACAGATAACCGTCTCCTAGAGCACAGAGCAAGTAGTCAACACCTTCCAAGGTGACTAGGAGGAGTGATCTTGGGATGGCATCCCCTCCGATGCTTTCAGTGCAGACGACTTCCATGGAAGGGAGTCTGAGCATTGACAACGAAAGATTCCAATGTCCAACTGCCACAAAATCGCTCTTGTTGTGATCAGATTTTTCCCCAAGAGGATTCAAATTCAAGCAAGCAATCTCCTGATCCATCTCGATTCGTTTCACCTCGGTGACATCACCATTAGAAACATCGAGGTAGATCAAAGTGCGTTTCCCAGACGTAAGCACAACCTGCTGTACATTGCCACCAGCCACTGTAATTCGCTCGCCATTTGGAGGAAACCACTCTTTCAGGAGCTGCTTCGATTTGGTGCTAACAAGTCTCAGGCTGACTTCGGTGATTTGCAGCAAGCAATCCCCAAGAACATTGCTGCAGAAGATCGTTTGGGCGTTGTGATCGAATCCGTCGATTTCAGTTTCTGAAAGTTCTTCATCCGCGATTTCCAGCACTCGAGTCTCATTGACGAAGCTCTGAATGAGGTACTTGTCGTACTGAGCGTCAATCGATTCTCTCAGAGACCAAAGTCCTTTGATTCCAGGTAGTTCCACGGCTGCCTGCTCATTGATTCCGATCCCATTCCTCACAACACGCAGGCTGCCATCTTTCAGTGTTCCGCTGCATGTCACCACCTGTCCTTGACCCTGTCTCTCCAAGTCGACGACGCAGAAATCCTGAATGGGTCCAAGGTTGGTGAAAGATTCAAGGACTTCGATATTGCTGTCATTTTCATCCTTGTCTGGATGGAGTCGGATCAATTGAGAATCTCCGAAGCAGGAGCCGATGAATACTACACCGCTGTCCAAGTATGTTATCGTCTTAGCGCTGGATGTTTCACCAAGAGTGTCTAACTTCAAACCAAGAACCTTGTTTCCATCGAATTCCAACACCAAAACATACAATTGGCCAAGGTGGTCCCCCAGCAGATACCGTCTGCCGTCCTCGTCAATCTTTCCCCAAGCTCGGATGACAGTCATGTCCATGTGAATCGTTTTGGTGTCTCCCTTATCTCCATTGAGATACGAGATGGTCTGTTCGCCCAGTAAGATGCATCCTCCAATGGGAGTGGGCACAGGAATGATCATGGTGGCTCCAATCTCCACTCCTGTCTGACTCCATGGCCCCGCAATGAAATCCTTGTCTCTGATAGACACCTGGTATGTCTTCAAATGTCTCATCTCTTTCGGATCCTGATAGAGCAGCACGATAGTTGGCTGCGCATACCCGTACAGGAACTGAACGTCGAGGACCTGAAGCTCTTCAAGCCGGATGTTGAAAGCCTCTCGAAGTTGACCGTTCCTTGTGTCGATGGGTATCACTTTGAAAAGTCCGTCATACAGCAGAAAGCCGATCATCCGTCGTTCAGGATCAATATGCGCTATGGGCCCACCATCGACCGGCCTCCCAACTGAATCCTGAACATCACCCATGGCCTTTGTGATCAGCTCACCAGTACTGCTATCATATTCCACGATACAGAACTTGAGCCTCTCCGTCAAGATGTACAGAGATTCTCGCTCTGCTCCGGCTACAGTGTAGAGTTCTATCGCTGCTATCCTGCCGTAGATCCCAGTGTCCAGCACCGGCTGGAGCCCCTCAGGTGTGAGTGTGTAGATGACCAGACGCGATCCCTTGGCGACGATGAGGTTGGTGTCTTTGGGGCCGGTGAAGCTTCCTCGAACCGAGAGTTGTGCACAACTAGCCCTATGGGCTGTCACAACATAGCAGTGCATCGTAGCCTACACCTGTACCCCAATGTCAAAAACACTCCATGGCGTCTGGCAGGGTCAATCCAACCAAACAGCGGGAACCATGCGATATCTCTGTCCGTGTTCATCTCAAAACTGCCAGAGGGATCGTATCCTTTGGATCCCGCGCCTCCTTATCTCTTTCTTAGCCCCTCCCCTCCCTTCTGTTTTTGTCTGCTCTCGCAAAATCTCACCTCTTTTGACAATCCTTCTTACATAAACTTGCTAACATAGGCGTCGTAACCTATGCTCTTCTCCCGAGCATCTTTTCTCGTCGCCCCACTTCCTCGAGCGATCATTCTGGCATCGTGCACTCGTACCGGCCTACTCCAGTGCTCTTTTCTTTGTCTTCACTGTGGAATTCACTCACATCATGTCCTCCCCTCCTCATCCCAGCATCCTCTCCTCTCCTCTCCTCTCCTCTCCTCCCAGCATCAACTCAACTTTGTCTCCCCTTCTACCTCTCCTCCCTTCCCTTCCATCCCTCTCCCTCCCTACCATCGCCCCCTCCTGGCTAACACATCCTCTTGCATTCCCGCTCCTGCACCCTACCCCCACTGAGAAAGACCCACCCTACCTCTTCAATCATTGGCACCACCCTACCTGGTCAATCAGTGTATGATTGATTCTCTAAAGTCTACATCTTGAGATGGCAGTTTCTATAATTAGCACTCCAGTAAATATTTGCATTCATCTGATCCTCAACTTTCAACAACCACTGACTACCCCACCTTATCTCTCAGTCTCTCGGCCCACACCACCCTTCGAGATCTTTCTTTCGCACCCCTACCCCATCAGTCTGCCACCTCCCTCTTTCTTTTTTTGGCGCCAAAAAAATGGATCGATCGACCAACCAACAGGTAAATAAAAAATGAAAAAAAATGTCTGGTGGGCAATTTTTCTTTCCTGTTCCTTCCTCTAACTTATTATTTAGTTAAAGGTTCGTTCAAGGGCCTCTCCTCTCACAGTCTCACTGAGTCTCCTCTTTTACTCAAACTGAAAGTTAAGTTCCCCCAAACTTAACTGATACCTTCCCTTAGTACCGCCGGTCTGCGCGCAGGACAAGTACGGTCCCCCAGTCTCCTCATTGAGTGACTGCTCCGCCAGTTAAGTTAACTTTGAATCCGAGTGCATCACTGACATCAACCCCTCCTGCCACCGTCTCGATTCCCCGGCCCCCCCGGCGGTCCAGTCTCGAGCCGGGCCGGGCCGCGGCCCGGTGCCACGACTCGACTCGGACTCGAGTCCGCCCCGGAGCCACTGGCAGGCCCGCCCGGCCCTGGCCGCCGGGCCGCCGGACTGCCATATGATGGGCCCGGGGGCTGCCGCAGCCGTGATTTCTGAGGCGGACTGTGTTGTTGGGCGCTGCCACACACGGGGGCAGCTACCACAGAAGCAGAGCCATGTCGGCTGTAGGAGGCAGCAGGTCGAGCAAGAGGAGGAGGCTGGAGGGAGCAGACACGAAGACAGAGAGAGAAAAGGAGGGGGGCAGATCTGAAGCAGAAAGGGAAACCAAACGAATACGAAGAAAGCTATGCGAGCACGGGCGGCAGCGATCGGTCTGCAAGGAGTGCGGGGGCAGCAGCATATGCGAGCACGGGCGGCAGCGATCGAAATGCAAGGAGTGCGGGGGCAGCAGCATATGCGAGCACGGGCGGGTCAGATCGGTCTGCAAGGGATGCGGGGGCAGGAGCATATGCGAGCACGGGCGGCGGCGATCGGTCTGCAAGGGATGCGGGGGGGGCAGCATATGCGAGCACGGGCGGCAGCGATCGGTCTGCAAGGGATGCGGGGGGGGCAGCATATGCGAGCACGGGCGGCGGCGATCGGGATGCAAGGGATGCGGGGGCAGCAGCATATGCGAGCACGGGCGGGTCCGATCGGTCTGCAAGGGATGCGGGGGCAGGAGCATATGCGAGCACGGGCGGCGGGGATCCAAATGCAAGGAATGCGGAGGCAGCAGCATATGCGAGCACGGTCGGATCCGATCGGTCTGCAAGGGATGCGGGGGCAGCAGCATATGCGAGCACGGGCGGCGGCGATCGGGATGCAAGGACTGCGGGGGCAGCAGCATATGCGAGCACGGGCGGCAGCGATCCAAATGCAAGGAGTGCGGGGGCAGCAGCATATGCGAGCACGGGCGGGTCAGATCGGGATGCAAGGGATGCGGGGGCAGCAGCATATGCGAGCACGGGCGGCAGCGATCCAAATGCAAGGAGTGCGGGGGCAGGAGCATATGCGAGCACGGGCGGGTCCGATCGGTCTGCAAGGGATGCGGGGGCAGGAGCATATGCGAGCACGGGCGGGTGAGATCGGTATGCAAGGGATGCGGGGGCAGGAGCATATGCGAGCACGGGCGGGTCTGATCGGGATGCAAGGGATGCGGGGGCAGGAGCATATGCGAGCACGGGCGGGTCCGATCGGGATCCAAGGGATGCGGGGGGGGCAGCATATGCGAGCACACGCGACAGCGATAGGTCTGCAAGGGCTGCGGGGGCGGCAGCAGCATATGCGAGCACGGGCGGGTCCGATCGGTCTGCAAGGGCTGCGGGGGCAGGAGCATATGCGAGCACGGGCGGGTCCGATCGGTCTGCAAGGGATATGGGGGCAGGAGCATATGCGAGCACGGGCGGATGAGATCGGTATGGAAGGGATGCGGGGGCAGGAGCATATGCGAGCACACACGACAGCGATCGGTCTGCAAGGAGTGCGGGGGCAGGAGCATATGCGAGCACGGGCGGGTCCGATCGGGATGCAAGGGATATGGGGGCAGCAGCATATGCGAGCACGGGCGGGTCTGATCGGAATGTCAGGAGTGCGGGGGCAGGAGCATATGCGAGCACGGGCGGATGAGATGAGTCTGCAAGGGATGCGGGGGAGGGAAAAGCAGGTACCAGCAGGGGAGGAGCTGATCATCCGCTGACAAGATGTTGCTGTGTAGCAGGACGACCGGCTTTCATGATGAGGAGATGGGTAGGGGTTGTTTTTGGACTTATCGCGGTCAGGAGGGAGTGACGGAGTACGAGTTTGTTAGACTTTTACCATGCTGAAATAATGCAAATATCATGTTGACCTCAGCTGCAATAAGACAGTTTTTGCTCAAGACCGAGTTGAATGCACACGAAACAGGGGTTGAGAAGCACATGAGAGATAGACTGTATGCTAGGATGTGAAACCCAAGCATCCAGACATGAGAAGACCTTAGCAAGACGGCTAGGAAGGCCTCCTCTTGGTGGTAATAGAATAACGAATAGAAACGGCAGGGCAGGTGGAGGCCAGTAGTACGAATAGACTTGTACGGTATGACGGTCATGCGGACAGCAACAGCTCACCTTGACGAGAAGACCGTCCAAGTCGCTCGAGACGGAGCTAAAGTCACGACACAGAGGAGTAGAGGAGCACAGGGAAGGTAGACTGAACACCAGGGTGTGGCTCCTCATGGCATACCGACATGAGGGAGGTCCGCGTGAGACCTCTAGGAGGGTCTCTGCTGGATTTGTGAGCGAGGATATCCAGGGAGGGCGGATAGCAGGGAGGGAGCACCTGGAGAGGTGATGAAGGAGGAGAAGAAGGAGCTATGTGGTAGTGTTTGCTGCATGATTTGTCTGGGATAGAGTGTCGGCGGTTACTGAAAGATTATGGCGGCAGGTCCCGAGTGCTCAGTGTACAGTCAGTTCCAGGGCCGTACCCGGGTAGTTCCACTCCCATGCCGTGGGTAGCAGTGTGGAAAGTGTAGCTGAATCAGGAGCCAGGTGGGTGTAGCACTGTAGTATGTGCTGCTCTTGACCCTAGTGAGTCTTCAGCTCGGCTTGCTACTGCAGTGTCTACACTGATGCTGAGAGGCGAGGCGCAAGCATAAGCACGACCACCTTCCGCCTTGCTCGCGGATGGAGCAACGGCAGTAGCGGCGACTCTGCTTGCGATGACGCGAGGAGAGGGGCCTCCAGGAAGCTCCTGACGCCGACCCGACGGCATGCCCCGTGCCACCCCCCGAAGCCTTACGGGTTGCAGACGTCTAGAGCGAATGCTCAAGTCACCTCCGCTGGATCAGATGAAGAGGTGAAGTGTAGCGATGTCGAGTTGACTAGCGATGCTAGATCAGAGGCATACAATATGAAGACAGAACAGCCCGTCTAGCTGAAGAGGCTGATCCTCTATAGGCTAAGGGAAGGACTAGGGGTAGTGCTCCTTGCTGAAGGATGCAGGGGTCCTCTGTTTGGAAGTTGACAACCTTTTCTCCTCAGAAGTTGAACATCCCATCAGCACTTGGAGAGGAAGCCTTGCTCTCTCGTAGAAAAGAGAACCCGTCCTCTCAGCTTGACCACCACGGGTACACTAGTCCTGCGACAAAGACCTCCAGAGGTGGTTCTTTTCAGCAGGTTCACACGGGAGTAGAGTATCCTGTGCAGCTCTGACAGCCCGGCGGCGCTAAGGAGCTGCGAGTAGGACCGGGAGTGAAAGAGTACATCGGAGATGGTAGCCATCGCTGCACTAGACCTTGAGGGCTTCAGAGGAGAGAACAGAGTCTTGTAGCTCAGCTGATCCTCCTGCAGGCTGAGACAAGGGCTAGGTCTGGTGCTCCTTGCTGTACGGGCAGACTCCCGCTGGCCCTCGCGCAAGCTCTCGCTCCTCACGAGCTTCTGCTCCTCCTTCTATCAGGATGAGGGACCCCACCCGTACCCCCGAAGCTACACGGGCTGCAGACGTCTACCGTAGCGAGTGCTCAAGGCACTCGGAGTCCGCTGGATCGCACACAAAGGTGAAGAGTAGAGGTATGAAGTTCACACGAGCATATGCTCCCGACTGGATAGTTCAACTCAATAAAACGCTCTGGTGCTATCTGACTAGCACAAACCCAACTACCCCCCGGCCCCCACCTCCTCATCCTGCAAGCCGGTCATCCTGCTACACAGCAACATCTTGTCCGCACCTGATCAGCTCCTCCCCTGCTTGTACCTGCTGCTCCCTCCCCCACACTCCTTGCATTTCGATCGCTCCCGCCCGTGCTCGCATATGCTGCCGCCCCCGCAGACCTGGCATTGACATCGGACCCGCCCGTGCTCGCATATGCTCCCTCCCCCGCATCCCTTGCAGACCGATCGCTGCCGCCCGTGCTCGCATATGCTGCTGCCCCCGCAGCCCTTGCATCTCGATCGGACCCGCCCGTGCTCGCATATGCTGCCCCCCCCGCAGTCCTGGCATTGAGATCTGACCCGCCCGTGCTCGCATATGCTGCCCCCCCCGCATCCCTTGCATCCCGATCGCTGCCGCCCGTGCTCGCATATGCTGCTGCCCCCGCAGTCCTTGCATTGAGATCTGACCCGCCCGTGCTCGCATATGCTGCTGCCCCCGCATCCCTTGCATCTCGATCGCTGCCGCCCGTGCTCAGCATATGCTGCTGCCCCCGCACTCCTTGCATCTCGATCGCTGCCGCCCGTGCTCGCACATGCTGCCCCCCCCGCACTCCTTGCATCCTGATCGGACCCGCCCGTGCTCGCATATGCTGCCCCCCCCGCATCCCTTGCATACCGATCTCACCCGCCCGTGCTCGCATATGCTGCTGCCCCCGCAGCCCTTGCATCCCGATCGGACCCGCCCGTGCTCGCATATGCTGCTGCCCCCGCATCCCTTGCATCTCGATCGCTGCCGCCCGTGCTCGCATATGCTGCTGCCCCCGCACTCCTTGCATCTCGATCGCCGCCGCCCGTGCTCGCATATGCTGCTGCCCCCGCATCCCTTGCATTGAGATCGGACCCGCCCGTGCTCGCATATGCTCCTGCCCCCGCACTCCTTGCAGACCGATCGGACCCGCCCGTGCTCGCATATGCTCCTGCCCACGCAGCCCTTGCATCCCGATCGGACCCGCCCGTGCTCGCATATGCTGCCCCCCCCGCATCCCTTGCATTGAGATCGCCGCCGCCCGTGCTCGCATATGCTGCCCCCCCCGCATCCCTTGCATCCCGATCTGACCCGCCCGTGCTCGCATATGCTGCTGCCCCCGCACTCCTTGCATTTTGATCTGACCCGCCCGTGCTCGCATATGCTCCTGCCCCCGCAGTCCTTGCATACCGATCGCCGCCGTCCATGCTCGCAAATGCTGCCGCCCCCGCAGCCCTTGCATTGCGATCGCCGTCGTCCATGCTCGCATGTACTTCTTCGTGTTGGCGATCTCTTCTTCGCTCTCTTTGCGTTCATTTCTTCTCCTCCCTCCTCTCTCGCCTCGTCTGATCCCTCCAGTCTCCTCTTCTTGCTCGACCTGCTGCTGCCGACAGCCGACATGTTTGTATTCGTTTATTGACTGAAAAGAAAAGGCAAACCGGAGCAAACAAAGGAGGATGAGGAAAAATCCAACAAACCCGCCTCAATGAAATACTAGGAAAATGAAAAGGCAGCGAAAACCGCTACGCTCCTGGACCTTGTTGAAAATCTCAAGTGTCCCAAATCGTACTGAGACCTTTGAATCCGACGGGAAGAGAATGCGCAAGTGGGCGAGCGAACTGATGCGAGGCCTTTCAAACATGTTTGCTGTTGACAAGAATCGCGAGGTGCTACTGGTGAGGCCGAAACTACCTCTCGTTCTCCTCCAAAGCCCCGTCATCTCGGCTGTTTACCTGCACATTCCTGAGATCTCGTTTGACGTCAGCGCTTCCGCATTTGAAGGGAAACTCTCCGATGACCCCGCTGCAAGTGCTGACCCGTCCAACGCGCTCCTCAGAGTGGGGACGTTGCCCACGACTTGGCTGGTTGTCGCCGGGCAGGAGAGCGAGCGAAAGGGCCAGGCTCAGTCCAGAGCGAATCTTTTCATCACCTGTGCAGGAGGAAAGTGCGGTGCGGGCAGTTTGCGGCCAGCGATCGGAGTCTTTATGAACGTTCTCACAACTCATCCTGTGTATGGAGTTGCAGTGACTGCCACCGTCTCCCCTTCTAGCGCGCGTTTGTTCAGTTCCTTGTTTGGGAACCAGACGACTTACGCCATCAAGCCTTAGGTCGGCAAGAGAGGTCGCACCGATGAAGCGCATCGTCGTTCTCAGCTGGGTGCCGATGGCAATGAAAGATGCCTCGAAGTGACCGTTGTGGACGGTTGGAAACTTCTCTTCTGTGCCAGCTATGCCAAGAACCCTCTAGGGTGTTCCGAGGTCCCCAAGTTGCCTTTGCTGGACTCAGAGTATCTCCCCTCCGTCATCCTCACCCTAGCTGAGAACCCTTACTTCGAGTCCGGACAAGGCGTCCCTGCTTTCAATGCCCGTGCCAATGTCACCCGCCTCAGCAAGATTGACCGCTCCAGCCTCCTCAGCCTCCTGGCTAGGACGAGTCAAGTTCCGACCGGCCTAGGTGATGTGAACGAAGACTCCCTGAGAGTTTCCTGCGACCTCAACGTCGATGCCGATGGAGACGTGTGGGTCAGACACGCTCTTCAGCTCGATGTAGGCATGGCCCAAATGTCCGGCAGCCCCAACAAGTTCGACACACTGTACGCCATGATGAAGCTTATGGACGACAAAGGGACAGCTGAGTGGGAGTGGAGGAACGTGGCAGGAAGGGGGCTATCAGACGCTGTCTACCTCATCGACCTGCCCATCAACAGGACTTTCTCTTCCACCATGTCGACTCGTCACCGGGAGCTGTACTCACTACAGGGCAGCTGGCTCACGGAGGACAGGAGCGGTGATAGCGGTGATAGTGACATCTTCGGTCTAGTGGCCATCCCGGTCTCGCCTCTGGCTCTTCTCAGCTCCTGGATGGGAATATTCATGGTCAACTCATTTCCAGCGAAAACCAGCTGCAATTGAACCTCACGGGAAAAGACACCCTGAAGCAAGCTGACAGGCTCAAAATACGTCTTTTGATAGGGAGCGATCGATCGATCGACCTCTCGGCCGATGTCAAATGGGACGATAAGACTTTACTACACACAGAGCTGGGTCTTAGCGCGTCCCTGGAGGCTCCTAGAAGCATCGGGCTGACCCTGCTGATTGAGATTGATCTCTTTGACACCTCGTTGAGCGCCGCCTGGCCGCAAAGCTGCTATCAAGGTTACCTGCGCATCAGCGAAGACCGGAAGCAGCTGATCCTGCTCAACGCGTCTGTGACCGGCAGTATTGATGCCCATCACCTACTTGCCGGACAAGGCAACGTGACCTTCGTTCTCCCAGATCAGCACGTGCTGAGCTGGACAGGCTCTCTGCTGGCCAAGGGCTCTCGCAATGAGTCCTACTCCAGCAGCCCTTCATGCCCAAGCTCCAATGCTGCCGTTGCTGGAGTGCTGCCCTTCGATAAAACCAGCAAGAAATCGTCGGAGCTTGTGGCGAGCTACTCTACTCGGCTCTTGCTGGGGCCGTCAGTAGGAAGTGTAAGCCTTGAGGCGAAGGGAGACCTGGCTTTGACTCTAGGCTACGACTCTTTGAGCGCGTGCAACCAGACGGTTGTGTTAGAGCAAGGCAAGTATTTCTCGTGCAACAGCAGGTGCCAGGAGGTGAGAGACGAGAGGAGGCTTCGTCTAGCTCCGGGGCTGGTGGGGACGTGGCAGGGGAAGCCTTTGAAGATGAACATGACGCGGACAGGGACCATGTTAGATCAGCTTGTCAGCGGCTTCAGCTCGCTCGAGGGGCACGTCGGATCGGATGTCGTCAACGTCGTGGGCTCGATGGCGGCAGAGCTTGACTCGTCACGGATGGTTCCGAGGTCCGGGCATGTCGCTGTGAGTGACCTGCATGGCTCTCCCTGGCTATCGTCCTACGTACAGCTTGACGATTCTACTGACGAACGTACGTACGGTAGAGCTCTGATGAATGTGTCGCTGGGAAAGGAGCTGGTGATTGACTTGGGACTAGCCGGGAATCTTCAAACATCCTCTGGCGTCACGACTGTCAATGTCATGTGCCGAAACGCCTTCCGAGGCCGACAGCTGCTCGACTTTGACCTGGGGGCAGAGGTCGCGTCAAACTCGAACGAGCTGCGAGGAAGGATCTCGAGCCTCTTCATCGTGAACAAGGAACGATGGTCCGAGTGGAGCCTTGAAGGGAGACTGAGATGGGTGCGAAGCCCTTATGGCGCCTCTTTGAAGCTCCTGAAGGAAGGAAAGGAGCAGCTGCTGCTCATGGGCACAGGAGACTATGAATGGACCTCAGCTAAGAACCTGCTGGAAGGAGCTGCCACAACCATCGTTTGCATTCCCGCTGGGAGCATCGACCTTGACATGGATCACTCGGGCTCATTGACTTTTGACTACCGCGGAGTTTCAGCGATCAGCCTTGAGATTTCGCAAGGGCAGTCGACGTTGAGGTCCAAAAGTCTTCGAGCTGCTTCACAGTCAGCCCTCCTGTCCCTCACCGGCGCTGCCAGCACTCGAGACCTGCTGGACAACTCTCTCCCGAGCTTCTTCCAGCACTTTGCGGTGTCACGAGCTGGAATGGACGTGGCCATGAGGATGAAAGTCTCCGGGGAGAACCTGATGAGTATGGCCGCGACCTTGGAGTCCATTGGCGACCTGAGGGGAAGCGACCAGACTGTCTCCTGCATCGTCGCTGACATGGGCTTGACGACGCCCTGGCTGTCGAAGGCGAGCACAGACATGCGACGACAAGCTTCTCGTTCCCCTGGGACGCCTGGAGCTCAAGGCGGTCAGGCGTGGCGTTGCTGCAGTACACGGAGCTGGACTGGGACTACAACGACCAGCAGGATCAGCTGCATAAGTCCAATATCCTCTACAACAACCAGCCCCCTTCCTGCGACGCTTCCACTACCGCCAGACTCGCCATGACGTTTGGTCGCTCATGCAGGCCGACCTCCTACCAGGATGACTCTGGCCTGTGCGTCTCTTGCCCCAAAGACCCTCACTGTGTCGGGACTGTCACCTGCACCACCAAGTCAGACGGCAAGTGCGGGGGCACATGCATCAGCGGCTACTACAAGGACGCCAACTCCAGATGCATCGCATGCTCTTCGAGCGGGGACTGTGGAGCCATCAGTCAGACTCCTCCTAGCGCCAGTAAGATCTCAGCTGCGTTCGTCGCCAAGGTGTAAGGGAAAAAAGTTTCCGACTATGCCGGTGAACAATCTCCATCTTCCCCTCCGTATCCCAATCTCTCTCCTCCTCCACTCTCTTTCCTCCTCCACTTGGCTCGCGCCCTCCTCCCAGGCTCTCTCTGCCTTCGTTCATCCCTGATCTGACCTCGGAGCAGGAGAGATCAAGAAGTCCATCGAACGATCCGTGCTCGTCGCAATGCAGCTTGTCGACAACCCAGACACTACCATCACGAGCTCAGCCAAGGCAGCAGCGGGAGGCAGGAGGCAGACAGGGGGAGTAGACATCACTACCCTTGTTGTGACTTCATCCTCCAACCAAGACAAGACGACCAGCATCACCCAAGAGAAGCTCGACAGAGCTGTCAGCCAGCAAGACAACCTGCTCAATGCCGGGCACTCAGTCTCTTCTGTCAGCTCAGTGACTGTCAGTCAGACTGTCATCGCTCCAGTCCCCATGAGCTCAGCGTTTGCCCTGCCCTCCCCATGGCTGCCAGCTGGCATCGCTGCCGCCATGACGGTTCAACGGTTGTGACGATCGTCTCTCTCAACATGTCAGTGTAGCTGTCAACTGCTTGCCGAGTATGAAACTTCTCTGATCAATACAACTGACAATTATGACAATTATGACAATTATGACAATAATGAGAACTTTATTGACTTGAGTATCGTTGACAGGTCAACCCTTCGTTCGACACTGTCCCTTTTTTAGTCAAGCCAGTGACCGTTTCAAAATGCGCTTGTAACGGTCAGATCTAAATTCGGAATCGAGCTCACCGTGGCATGCCGACCGCGATGAGCATGAACATGGAGGAGGGGGAGGAGAGAGAGCGGGACGAGCGAGTCAGGGAAGCAGCGAATGTGAAGCATCAGAGAGATATTGAATGACTGAGTTGTTTATTCCCGAGATTCAGATGCGTCAAGAAGGTTTTTCTCTTGTAGGAATCCAAAAGTTTACTACATGGTTGAGGTATGAACATGTCTATGGTGTGAGACAGGGGGAGCAGTAAAGGACTCGAGCACTAGTTGAAATGTCATGTTGATGCTTCAGCGATAAGAGACTCTAGTGAATGTAACGACTCTTGAGCTCCCAGTGAAACGTGGAGGGCAAGGAGGAAAAAGAAGAAACCATGTTCATTTTTGCTTATAACTAATGTAATTGGGGAACTGCTTGTCGTCAGTAGTTCGCGTAACATGGATAGCGTGATTTATGTATTTGTCCGCGTGCATGGATAGGATGGTTTATGTTGGCATCGGGCTGTGATCTGATGTCATGGCTGTAACTGTTTGATTGAGGGCGTGTATGAATGTTCTTGCTTGTAGAAGGCAATGTTTGTTTACTTCCACGGGGAAATGTTTCTTCTCATGCAATGTTTGTTTATTTCCATGGGAAAATGTTTCTTTGTTCTCATGCGATAAGAAGGCGTGATTTGCTTACTTGATTTGCAATGTATCTCGCGCATGAATGTGCGATCATCGAATTTTTCACTCCTTACTCACTGTCTGCGTGCCTTTAGATGTTTGCCCTGCTCAGACAGACTATTGCGGATTATCTCCCTAAGCAGTCGGATGCTTCTGTACTCGACGATGAGGCCTCTGCCATCGTGAGCACTCCCAAGAAGTTGATCGGTGGCGAGACGGAGGATCGCGCCGTGTCAACCAAGTACACGACCGAGGGGATGCTGTTCACTGGCGTTTAAGAGAGACAGATTTAACTGAGCTTTTCTCATTTTTCCCTCTACTGAGTCTCAGTTTCAATCAATTCATCATGAATTGATGTTTGTTCTTAAGGAAATCAAAACAAGCTTGGTTTAATCATCCGATCCTTTTACCACTCAAGATTTCTCGCATCATTGTACAGTTAGTGATAGACAGACAATATCCGATGGACTTCTCTTCCTGCTGTCCTATCTCACTGTCCTCTTCCTCCTCCTCGTCCTCCTCGTCCTCCTCCTCTGCCTCCTCGTCCTCCACGATCAGCACCCTGTTAACCGGTAAGAAAGTCTCATACAATTAGCAGGGAGGAGGAAAGATGTCTACCTGTCCTCGTCCTCCTCCTCCTTGATTTCCACCCCCACGATTTCCAATCACCCCTCGCCCACGTCCTCGTCCAGCGAATTCCTTGCGCTCCTCTGCGAGATGGTCAGAGAAGGGAAGCACAGGATAGATCTCCTTACTCTTCACTGGCTCATCAACCACTTTGTCTATCACTTCGTCAGGAACACGTAGATACTTGATGTTGTTGCCGCGGATATAGCACTCTGGGATCTTCCAGAATTTGTCACCGTCCTGTTACAGCAGCATCAGCATGCAGAGATTGAGAGCAGAAGAACAAGCCGCACCCTCGATGTGCAAACAACATCGCGCAGACTGAGGTTCATCCAGATATCACAGTTGACCAGAATCCCGTTGTATGTCTCTCCATTCTTCAATTCCACAAGCTGGTTGAGAGTATTATTGACACGTTCGAACACAAAGACAAGTTCTACCATGGGATTATCCTTCCCAGCTCGCAAGAGTGAGAGGGGAAGCTGCGAAAGAGTCAATCGATGACAAAGAGTTGACCAATGTCCTAAAAACTCGCAAACTCTACACCACAGCCCGCAACATGCACATGAGAAACTAAATCACAAACAGGATATGAAGACAGAGATTCGGATGGTAACATCCTTAAGTATGACGTTGTGAAGACAAAGTTTCACTTGCCAAAACCATCACCTCATACACTCATCATACGCTTATTTGCCTCAAATCACCAAGGATCCCTTCGCCAATGACCGTTGCATCGCAAACATTCACTCCTTCCTCCCGTGCTCCTCCTCAACCTCACTCCCATCTGCCAACCATGTCCTGCTTCCCTTCGCCATCCTCCTTCTCCTCCTTCTCCTCCCCTTCCTCCCCCTCCCCCTCCCTCCCTCCCGTCCCCCTTCACTCACCATGGCGCCGCTCCTCGCTGCTGCACGCTGCTCCTGCGCTATAAATTTACTCCATTTCCATAAGAGATCCTCACAAAATCACTACAACTTTTATTAATTTCCAATATTTTTCCATATGTTCCCTTCAAGATCTGCGATTTTTTATTGTAAGGTTTTCTACCGATCCATTTTCAAACCCCAAAGGAAAGGACCCTCATCCCCACCCAACCCGTCCCTGGGTGGGTCAAACAGGGGTCAAACCTGGGGTCAAAGCAGGGGTAAGTTGACACACTGGCAAAAATTGGACTTGGCGCTCTATGGCTGAAGATGGCGGTGGGAGGAGCGGGAGACAGCGGGAGCGATGGTGATCGAGGAGAGAGGAGAGAGATAGAGACAAGGAAGTCAGGATACAGGGAGACTGAGGAGCTCTGAGAGGGAGCCTGAGCTCTCAGTAAGAACTTGCGAGGTCAAAATGGTGAACTTTGTGAAGAGACGAATCCGCAGATTGCTGCATGTTGCCACCAACCTCAGGTTGATATGAGTTTCCTGGCTCATGAGCGAAACATTTGACCGCCCTCCAGGTCAAGGCTGCACTATTACATCAATGCAACGAGGTTCGGGGTTGCAATGGACGTCATGAACATTCTTCTCTCGTTGGCGTCTGTGGTATTGTACGTCACCACAACGTACTACGATCATCCCATGGATGTCCGAGAAACTTCCATAAAGTTCGTTCAGACCTCGCAGAATATTCAAGATGTCTTCCTCTACTTCTTTTTGACGGAGTTCGTCCTTCGCTTCTATGCTGGTCAACCAAAGATCCATTCTTCTACTTGACGCCTCCCTCCTCCCTCCTCCCTCCTCCCTCCTCCCTCCTCCCTCCTCCCTCCTCCCTCCCTCCTCCCTCCTCCCTCCTCCCTCCCCCCTCCTCCCTCCATATATGTCTGACTTTCCACCTTTTCACAGCTGAAAATCGATGGACCCACCTGCGGCAGGCGCTCACCATCATCGACATTCTCACAGTCTTCCCTCCACTTCTCATCCTGCTCGCGTCAAACGTCATACAAACCTACGACGAGATCACACAGAAGAAGGGAATCACGACCGAGATCAACGTCGCCAGCCAGCTAGGTTTCCTTCGAGTAGTCTGTCTGCTGCGAATCCTCCGGGTCCTGATCTTATTATCCCAAGAGAACGACAGGTAACGGCTGTCACTTGTCACCTCGTCGTCGTGTATGACACGAGCTGCAGCGATGCAGAGAATCCGGTAGACGGGAGTTCAGGGGTCTTCTTTCACATGATCAAAGTATGTGCTAGGCCGCAGGTGGTGAAGGCTACTTGCGCAGCTGAAAAGTTCTCAGGTGCTGCTGACGTTCGGGAGCGTGATGTTCTGCTTTGCTGGGCTCTTCATGACGGTGGAGCAGAACTACAGGTGACTCGTTGATAGCGTCCTTGTCAAACTTGCTGAGAGCATGATTGTTCTTGGTGCAGACCTGACTTCAGGATATGGTTTCATGACGCGCTCTACTTCACAGTCGTCACAGTAAGTTCAGGTACGATCAGGTGCGGATGCTGATGACGCTGACATGACGCGACAAGTGGGATACGGAGATTTCTCACCAAAGTCTATCCCCGGCAAGGTGCAAGGAGGAGCCACGAGCAATGGTTGCAAGCTTCTTCTCTGTGACATGCGATGTCTGCAGATGCTGGTGATGACGATGATTTGTTTTGCACTTGCGTTCGTCGGCGATCAGGTGCGATGATACATTGACGACGTTGACGATTGTGATGCTTGTTGTTTGCAGCTCAATGAAATCATGCGTCTGTTGTCCGTGGACTCTGTATATGTAAGAGCCGCCTACAAGAAGAGAAAGGGAACGCAGGCAATGATGACTTTTTTTTATCTCGTTTCTCTAGAGTGGAGTGGAGACTGCTGATGGAACTTGCAGCACGTCGTAGTCTGTGGGAGTTTCAGCTACACGACTCTGAGCGACTTTCTTGATGAGATGTTCCACTCCGATCATGGCGAGATGGCGAAGGTGAGGGAGCTGGAGTTTGCTGCCTTGTATGTGAGATGGGAGATGGGAGATGGGGGATGGGGGATGGGAGATGGGAGAAGGGAGATGGGAGATGGGAGATGGGAGATGGGAGATGGGAGATGGGAGATGGGAGATGGGAACAGATCAGTGAAGAAGCAAGAGAGCACGGGAGCAGGGGAGGGATGGGCAACGAGGAAATTGAGGAGAACTTGTTTAAAAAGATGTGTAAGGGAAACAAATAAGAGATGTTCCCCAAACATTTTATTTGTTTCTGATTATTGTCGATTTTCCTCGTTCAACTTTCTAACTTACCGCCTTACATCTTTTCCCCTCTCCTACATCAGATCATCAACGTCGTTCTTCTGAGCGAGGAGCATCCTTCCCTGTCTATCCTCTCTCTCATCGACTCTCCAAACTGGCTCGGCAAGGCGCGAAACTTTTGTTTTCCGATCTGGTAGTTTAGCTGATTTTGCAATCCAGGTCAAGTATCTCCAGGGATCAGCATTTGAGGATCATGACCTGAGCCGAGCTGACGCGAGGTGTTTGACTAGCGGCGGCTGACTCGTCAATTTTTTTCGAAAGTTCCTGCTGATGTCTTGACGTAGAGGAGCGAAATGTTTTTTCATCCTCACCAACAAGGACACCGACGATCCGAAGGCGGCTGATCAGGTGAAGAAGAGCAGAAGAAATGATGAAGATGGAGATGGAGATGGAGATGGAGATGGAGATGGAGATGGAGATGGAGATGGCGATGGCGATGGAGATGGTGGTGGTGGTGGTGGTGCCGGCGGTGGTGGTGGTGATGATGATGGGGAGGAGGAGACGAGGAGAAGGGTGAAAATCGATAATACAGATCAAGGTGGTGTTGATGCTTTTGTTGATGATCAATGATCATATTCTTTTGTCTTGGGCATGTTCACAACTTCCTTCCATTGGTCCTTCAATCCTTGTCCCTCTCCTCCAGCCATTGATCTTCCTTTCATTGCAGTCTACTGTATTGAAAGCAATGAGCATCAAAAAGTACATCCAGAAGGTTTTCATATTTCTTCGCTTCATCGTGTAACTGGTTGCAAAGTACTCAAAGAAAGACACGCTGGTAGTGATGCAATTGATTGCGCCAGACAGGAACTTTAAAATCTCCTTGAAATTTTCATTCATTTTTGAAATTGTATTTTCCTCTTTCACAGTAGTGAAAACTTCACGAGATCTCGTTATGGCAGAACATTCCATCAGGTGAAAACAAGATGATTTTATCGGGGTTTGCTGACTTTTCTTCTCCTCTCCACGTTATCTTCCCGTTTGTCATTGTCCGACATCTCAAACTCGCTCATTTCTTCTTAACTCTGCTTCCTTCCTCCCATCCCTACGGCACCTGTCGGCCTCTCCTCTCCTCTCCTCTCCTCTCCTCTTCTCCTCCTCTCCTCTCCTCTCCTCTCCTCCATGTCAGGTGCTCTGCACTGACGAGATCAAGTTGAACCTGCTGGGCAAGAGCTGCATCTGCCCAGGGTTCTCCACCATGATCAGCAACCTCATCCGCTCCTCCAACGCTGAGCCCAAGGACAACATGGAGACCTGGATGCAGGTGGAGGAAGACGTTTGTGAGAGAGCAGGAGAAGAGGAGGAGAAGCAGGAGAAGGAGAAGTGGTGAGAGGGGCAGGAGGAGGAGGAGGAGCAAACGGATGGAGAGGATAGTAGGTGGCCTTAGCATCTGGATCAAGTGGTGAAGAGGGGAGCAAGAGGAGCAGGAGGGAGAGTTGATGTCAAGTAGCAAGGAGAGAAGGAGAGTGAAGTGTACTTTTGTATTTGTTGTTGCTGAGCTTCTGCTCGACAGGAATATGTACAAAGTTGCGGCAAAGAGATCTATCGTGCCAAACTGTCTCCTTTCTTTGAGGGCAAGACATTTGCAGAACTTGCAAATATGGTGAGAGAAAATTGAAGATTGATATGATGATGATGAAGATGATAACGACGACGACGACGACGACGACGATGACGATGATGATGATGATGATGAAAACATGTAGAATGTCTTGCTGTGACAATTTCTCAGGTGTTCCTCCATCTTGGCTGTACTGTGTTTGCCGTTGAGATCGGTATGGCTAGTCAAAGACTTTCAGCTAGAGGACAGCTGACGCATATACCTGTGACAGCTGACTCGAAAGGCGTATCTCGCGTCGTTCTGTTCCCAGCACGTTGGGAGATTCCAAGTGGGTCGACGTGGGTCTTCCTCATCGGTGACGATCCCCCCTCCCCCCTCCCTCCTCCCTCCTCCCTCCTTCTTCCTTCTTCCTCCTTCCTCCTTCCTCCTTCCTCCCTCTTCTCTCCTCCCTTCCTCCCTCCTCCCTTCCTCCCTCCTCCCTTCCTCCCTCCTCCCGTCCTCCCTCCTCCCTCCTCCCCCTCCCTTCTCTCTCTTTCCTCCCACTCCCCCCACTCCCCCTCATCCCTCATCCATCTCCCCTCAACTCTCCCTCCTCCCTCCCCCTCCAAACTCTCCCCACCTTCCTCTTCTCAGCACAAGGCTTCAGGTGACGACATCGAGGACGCGGTCAGACTCTCAACGTTCCGGCTGGTCGACGGATGTCTGGAGCCGTTCGAGCACATGAAGGAGAGGGAGGCTATCGACAACCACAGGGAAGTTCAGGTGGCAGACGGCGACTTGTGCGAGCTCGCCTCAGTCACCAACGCGAGGATGATGAGGAAGTATCAGTTCCTTGACACGCCCGTTGAGTTCGGAAGCAGCCCGGGGAGAGCGAGTGACCCCTGGGCATGGAAGCACAGCGAAGAGAACAGACAGAACCATGTGCTTCTGGTGAAGAAGAGATGATTGTTGTTGCAGCCTGTGCTGTTGTTGTTGTGATGGTGATGGTGATAATGGTTGTGGTTGAGGTTGAGGCGAGGACGAAGAAGATGATTACGATGATGATAATGATGATGAAGATGATGTTGGGAATGGGGATGGAGATGGAGATGGAGATGATTATGATGACAACGACGATCGAACTTCGTTCCTGACTGCATTGTCAGTGTGGAAACATCAACTCCATCCAGGAGTTTGTGAAGACGTTGCGAAGCAAGCACGTTGCTTCTCAAGCTATCGTCATCCTCTTCCCCGAAATCCCTTCCCCCGTCTGGTGGCAGCACCTTGCTCACTTTCCCGACGTCTTCTTCGTTCAAGGTACCCCCCTCGACCAGCGTGACCTCGTCCGCGCTGGGGTCCTGGGGCTGGATAAGGCCATCATCCTATCAGGCGCAACTAGCGACGTTCGGACCAACGGCAAGCACGCCAAGAACAGCGAGGAGGAGGCGTTGTCAAGGCTCATGGACGCTGATAGCATCTTCACCTACCGCTCTATCCTGTCCATCCATCCCAACGCCAACATCATCTGTCAGATCCGCAACAGCGACAACATCATGTTCTTGATGCAGGAAGACCGTACTGACTCCGAGTCCGAGATCACTCTGTGCCCTCCCTTCGCCGCCGGCCATGTCTTCCTCAACTCGGTCATCGACCGTCTCATGTCTCAGTGCATGTACAACGAGCATCTCCTCCCCATCCTCCGCGAGCTCGTCATCAGCGGTGGGGTCGATCAGTCCAGCTTCCTCGAGAATGACGTCACCCCGTCAGTGGTGAGCCCCTCCTCCTCTTTCTGCTGCTGGTGCTCTCTTGCTCTCCTGCTCTCCTCCTCCTCCTCCTCCTCCTCCTCCTCCTCCTCCTGCTCTTGCTGTTTCTCCTGCTACTGCTGCTGCTGTTTCTCCTCCTCCTCCTGCTACTGCTGCTGCTGTTTCTCCTCCTCCTGCTGCTGCTGCTGCTCCTCCTCCTCCTCCTCCTCCTCCTCCTCCTCCTCCTCCTGCTCCTCCTCCTCCTGCACTTCCCTCCATCTCCTCCCCGTGCCATTCACTGACCCGCCAATCAGCTCTACTCTCTCATCGTCCCCTCGAGCTTCGAGGGCAAGACATATAAGGAGCTGTTCCAGTATCTCGTCAGCAAGAGGTCCAGCCTCCCCCTGGGCCTCTACAGGAAGAATCCCACCGATGACGTCAGCCCCCGTCCCTACGTCATCACCAACCCTGACGCTTCCTTGATTGTCAACTCCGACGATCGCATGTTCACCCTCCTGTCTCCTGAGAACGCGTTCAACCCTCCTCTCGGCATGCTCTCCATCACTTCCATTGAAGCCGTCCTCCCCCCGCGCCTCCCTGCTGGAACTGAGGGCGGAGGAGGGGAGGGAGAGGACGGCCTAGCAGCAGGGGAGGAGGAGAGGTGGGGATGCTTCATAACCATCCAGTCACAGGGAGAGTCGCAAACTTCGCACCTCTGCAGGAACCTCACGAGCCCGCACTGGAACTTTCGGTCTGACTTCTTTGTTCTTGACAAGGAGGGCAGCATCGATCTCAGCGTGCATGACAGCAAGGACGAAAAGGGGAGAAGCATGCGCTTCGTGGGTGTAACCACCATCTCCATCCAGGACATCATCCAGGAGTTCTTGGCAGAGCATGCCAAGTCAGGGCAGGGGATCGAGGACAGGATGATCGATCGCTGGTTCAAGCTGGAGGAGAGCAAGGCGGCTTTGAGCAGGCAGGGGAGGAAACGGATCATGCTTGACAAGGCCAGGTTGAGGCTTCAGCTGCGATGGTTTCCGCGAGTTGCTGCAAGCGTTGAGGTCGATCTACCTTGATCCCCGTCTTGCTCACTTCCTCCATCCTTCCTCCCTCCTCTCTCCTCCCTCCCTCCCACCTCCCTCCCTCCTCTCTCCCTCCTCCCTCCTCCCTTGCTTCCTCCTCCCTTGCTTCACAGCTCATTCTCACCCTACTCCTTCCCTACCTCAACTCGCTTCTCTCCTGCCCTCCCCTGCTCCTAATAATATTCCCATACCTTCCCCACCGTCTTCTCCCCTCCTTTCATTCCTCCTCCTACCTCCTCCTCCTCTTTTCTCCTCTTGCTTCTTGACTCTCCTTGTAGTCTGAGGAGGAAGGGACGCTACCTGCTCCTTCATTATGCAGCGTCAACACTCCTAGGAACGCTGAGTTCTACGATGGTACGCCCATGTTCTTCCTCTCCTCCTCTCCTCCTCCTCTCCTCCACCTCTCCTCCTCCCTCCCTGTTCCCGGTTTACCTCCTTGCTCCTCTTCTGTCCTGCTGTCCCCTAATCCTGTCCCGTCTCTCATCGCTCCTCTTCCCTTCTTTCCCTTGCTCTTCACTCACCCCTCTGGCCCTTCCTCATTCTACCAGCTTCCTCCATCCTCCTCTTCTTCCTCCTCCTCGGCTCACTCCCGTCAACCTGCCAGACCTCTCCGAGTTCTTCAGGGAGCGACGGGCGAGCATGCGGCTCGGCGACGGACGATCCTCCGGCGGAATCTCGCGGCGAACCTCTACGGAGCTGACGAGCAAGCTGGAGTCCATGTCCGAGGAGAAGCCGCTCCCGTTCTGAGCAGCCGCTGTGACTGCTGCATGCCTGACGAGAAGAACTGAAAGACTAGCCTAGTAGTTACCGCAGCCAACAGTTCAATCACGATGCACAGCAGTTAATCCAGCCGCGCCCGGAGTGATCTGCCATTCGTGCCAGCCGTGCCAGTCAGATAGCGCCGAGTTAACAAAACTCTCCCGTACCTAGCCGTCTTGCTAAGGTCCTCTCATGTGTGGATGCTTGGGTTTCACATCCTAGTAGCATAATGATACAGTCTATCTCTCATGTGCTTCTCAATTCTGGTTTCGTGTCAGTGTGCATTAAACTCGGTCTTGAGCAAAAGTGAACTGTGTTGTTGCAACTAAGGTCGATATGATGTCTGCATTCCGAACTTTGGCACAGTACAAGTCTAACAAACTTGTGCTCCGTCACCCGGCTCCGGCAGCGGCAGTGGGATGTGACTCAGCAGTGAGTCGCCGCCGAGGCCCGTTCGAAAGTTTTGGGCCGCCGGGCCCCGGACCCCGGGCCCGGTGGCTAGGGCCGCTTCCGGGCCCGCCAGTTCGGAACTCCCGCGTCTGGGTGAATGGAACATGGTCAAATTTGACCATCCCGGAAATAGCTGTCGAGGAAATGTCGGCTAGAAGATTTGGAAGGGGGAAATGGGGAGAGGGGGAAGGAGGAGATGGAAGAGTGGAGCGAGCTTAGATAAAGAGAAGAGAGGAGTTGATGCTGGATGAGAATCAAGATGTATGATAAGAAATACTGTCTACGAAGATTTCAAGAGGTTGCTGCCTGTTCAGGGAGAACAAAAGTTCTATGATGACCAATATGCAAGACAGAATGAATGAGTGAACGTTTGTGGAGAAACCTTGGCGGTGTTGTTGCATATTTGTCTCCTATCTCCTGTCTTAGAAGAATGATCTTGATTCGATACGAGAGATGGCTGTCCTCTGGGAAGTACAGAAATTCCCGTTTACGCTCCTCATGGAGCCAAACCAACATAAACTGCCATAGATCGTCTGAAACTTCATGCGCAGATGTTCAATACAGTCAGAGCAGCGATGGAGCAGGCGAAACAGACCCAACTCCAAGATTACAACTCTTACCCTGTAGTCTATGACGGCTTGTCCTGGCCTCAGCCCGGCACTGTCTACTATCCCTGGGCGCCTTCCCAGTGGCAGCTTCCTGTCTACAGCTCGGCTACCCCTGTGAAGTTCACGACGGTAAGAGCAGCATCAAACTCACATGTACCCTGACAGTTGCACAGGCACAACCGGTAGTTGGAACGGTGACCATTAACGGGCAGACGTTTGGTGAGTTGAACTGAAGGTGATGACAGAGTTTGATTCGTGTGCTCAAACAGATCTTGTCCCCAAGTCTTCTTGAGCAGAAAGAATGTAGTGACCTCGGTCGTGGGGGTGTTGCAATATTTTTCAGTTTCGGTACCTTTTTCATAATCTAGAAGACGATGATGTTGAATTTTATGAATTGCGGCTATGAACGAGCAAGTATGTTTCGATGGTCGAGAACATCATTGGAGTTTCTTCGTAAGTATTAGAAATCAAACTCTACACATCCATCAGCCGAAGTTCGCTTCCTTAATTCCACTTCGTTCTGTCTAATCTTGCTCTGTCTCGCATGATCGATATTTGTTCTGCTATACTTGTGGCCCTGAACGGAGCTAGTCAGTATCAGAACTTCTCGCCATCAGCTTGTCACCTGAGGTGATCCATTGGTACCATTCATAGTGTTCGAGGGGCTGTGCACTGCCGGGGGAGAATTCAAAGTTTCTGAATCGAGATTGCGATCTCGCTGCGATCCGACAAACAACGGGGCACTGCTGCTTCGGAATTCGGGCTTCACCTGGCTGCTGCTGATCCAGCCCTTCTCTTCCTCTTGCTTCAACTGACAAGGAGAGCTGCTCTCACTCTGTAACAAGATCCTCTTATATTCCGCCTAGTGTGCCAAGTCAAGATGGAAGTCCACAAGACTTGTGTACACTCACCATGTACTTGATGATATCGAGCTCTTTCATGTGAAAGCTATTTTCCAGAAACGTATCATGCAAGGCCCTGAGAGACTCTATCTCCCCCCGTGCTGATGCAAAGCCATTTGAGCCATATGCTACCACCGCACTTTACGCACAGCTCACCTGCTTTAAGAGCTTTCCTGATTTTCCTCAGTTCATCTTCTGCAATCTTGCGTCAACGTCTTGCTTTCTTCATATGAAATCAACAAACCATTTCCATAATCATTCCCTAAGTTTCCTTTTGTGTTCTTTGTTCCAAGTCATTGTCAGAAACAACATCTCATGGTTCAAACACAACAACTCACAAGAATCTTCCTGAGATATTCATTCTCAGACTCGAGCGCCTTGTTCTTTTCTAGAGCCACAGCCAACTTGATCTGGGTTGTCAAGAGTATCTCAGCGCCATGTCACCGCAGCCAGATTAGTGTTGCCTGCATGTCCCGGAGAGCTTTGTCCTTGTCACTATCGCTACCAGCCATGATGCTTTCCACAGTGCTGATGTACAACCGGAATGCACTAGAGCTGTCCAGAACTCTCTGCAAGCTGCTGAGTTCTTCTCGACGTAACAGGAGCAAAAGAAGAAAGAGGGCTAGACGCCAAACAACAGTTTATGTTGTGATTTCCTGGACAAACCCTCCTTTTGTTTTCCCAGAAGCAATCAAATATGCAAGGATATCAGGTAGGTTGCGAATCCAGAGATTCTTGAAGTTCGCTAGCGAGGAATGCAATCGTTCGTGTGTGCTGTGCAGGAAGGTTGAAATCGGCTACGGCAGAACCAGAGGTTGGATGGTAGGCAGAAAGGAGGAGCAGCGCAGAAGAGGGAAGCAGGAAGGATGGAATCGCCGAGGACCTCGAAGAGGAGGCGTGTCGATGGTCAGTGAAGCAGGAGGGGTATGGTACTCGCTCAACCCGTCGCCATGGGCAAATGTCGGAGATCGGCCGGCACACAGATATGGGTGGTATCTTGATTCGGAACCAGGGGTAGTGTTTCAGGGTACAATCGACTAGGATAGAGGGGGTAGTCGATAACAATAAATTCCAAAGGTGGGGTGGTATCACGGAGCACTGGAGGCGCAAGGGTGGGTAGTTTGCAAGGTCAAAGGGCGCTTGGATATCAGAGGGTGGGGTGGTTTTGGTGACTAAAAGTAAAACTAAGTCAAGAAAAGTCCCTACCCCACCCCTCGTTGATCCTCAGAGAACTGAGCATGAGAGTCACAGCTTATACCCCATTTGCTAACGTTTTATCTATTGACATCCTATGTCAAAAACCACTACCACTGCCCAAGTAAGTTTGTTGTACCCCACCACCCTGAGAATACCTATGCTAGGGTCTTCGTGCCAATTGGTAGTGCGTGGTACAAAAAGGAATTTAAAAGCATATATACTTCCAGGGTGATACAGTACTGCGAGTTTACATATATCAGGTACAGAGATGTTTTTAATATATATATAAACGTTGTATATTGTTATTGGTGCGAAAATGCAATTTAAAAAAGGATGGCCATTTTAACTTCCAGTGCGGGGGTGGTAGTCGGACCGTGGGGTACTCATACGATGGTTGAGGCATGATGCGACTTTCAAGTGCCCGGCCGGCTCGGAGGCTCCGAGTCACGGTGACTGACGGCCGGGCCCGGCGTATGCTGCATACTGCTGCCATGATGCCATGATGATCGGGCCCGGCCCGCAGGGGCCCGCCGCCCGGCGGCGGCGTTCAACTTGTGGTGACTCTGTGACGGTCCGAGACGCCCGGCTGCGCCGCGGTGCTGATACTGAGATGCCAGACGCCGCCAGTGCCACCGGACCGGGGTGTACTATCTGAGCCAGGCTACTACGCTTTCAAACTTAGTGCCCCGGGCGGCCCGGCCACTGTGACAGTAGTACCGTGACAGGCTAACTCAGTGGTTCGCCGCATCATCATGGCAGTCCGACGGTCACCCCGCCGCCGGGTTCACGGTTGGCACTGCGGCAGGCTGCACAGTGCCTCGGAGGCGGATGCCATGATCATCGGCCCCCGATCCGGCGGGAGCCTGGCTGATACCGCAAAGTGACTTGAAGCGCCATAGGTACATTTATCAACAGTGAGTACTGGTGACCTACTGCTCATCTCTTCGCTGCCTCGATCCTCGCCAGCACCTCCCCTACTTCCTCCCCCGTCTCTCCTCCTGCTCTCCTCATGATCCTCGCTGCCGTCTCTGGCTTCAGCAGCCGGCTGATCGCCGACCGGCTCTTCCCGTACATCCTCGCCAGGTCCCACTGCTGGACCGCCCGCCGGCGCTTGGACGTCTCCCCGGAGGAGTAGTAGAGCCTGACGATGTCGGTCTTCTGCTGAGAGGTGAGGCGCTTCTTGCCGGTGCAGAGGGCGCTGTGCTGGATGCGGGCGTCGAGGGTCCAGCGGGAGGAGGACGAGGGCTGGTCGGATCCTGAGTCCTGAGGGGAGTTGCCACCGGGGGACGATGAGTCGTCGTTGATGGATGGAGATGAGCTCTGAAGAGAAGGTGCCCGAGAGGAGCCTGCCGGTAAGTCGCGGCACGACGAGCTGTTAGCTGCCATGCTGGCATCACTTGCTGCGTCTAGAACTAGCAAGCTTTCAAACTCATCGAGGTCAGCCGTAGAGTCAGCTTTGTCCGATGGCAAGGACAGCAAGTCGTCGGAGCCTTCTTCAAGGTCGATGTCTTCAGTTGGGAGGACATCGTGTGGAGAGAGTGGAGGGATGGGGAGAGAGAAGACATTGTGATCCATGGGCGAAGAAGCGGAGAGATGTGAAGTTGGACTTAGCAGCGAAGGCTAAAGGCGTCAAGGTTCGAGGGAGAGGATGAAGTAGGAGAGAGGGTGGAGGTTGAGGGAACTATGAAGGAAGGGGGTTGGAGTTGATAAGGGCAGCGTAAAGTGTCCCGCTGATTCCCCTTGAGGGTACGGTAGTAAAGTAAGAGAGACCGTCAGCTGTCAACGTGTATGAAATGATGCCGAATTTAGACTGGAGTTGCCAGTTTTCATAGGTGTCCGCTGACGGCCTCCTCCAAGTCACGATACTTTCTGATACGAAACGTTGTCTTTCGGAGTAGTAAAATTACCGTCTCCTTCGAAAGTGCGTCAAAAGGCCGAAGTCACTTATATAGTGTAACAGGGTGTAACAGGGTGTAACAGAGTACTAATCACGCAAGAAGCCATGTCTTCGCCAGGTCCTGCAGCTCGATTTTTGGCCTATTCCTGGTATGTTACCGGTCGCCGCCTTCTCACATCCAAAGGTCGTGATGTGAATCGAAACCACTCATTTTCGATTTTTGAACTGAAAATCGCCATAAGCCTGACACGTCCAGTCCTCATCCTCCCCCTTCTCCTCCTCATCCTCCTCCACTACTCATCTCCTCTCCTCCTCTCTCCTCTCTCCTCTCTCCTCTCTCCTCTCTCCTCTCTCCTCTCTCCTCTCTCCTCTCTCCTCTCTCCTCTCTCCTCTCTCCTCTCTCCTCTCTCCTCTCTCCTCTCTCCTCTCTCCTCCTGGCACGTTTTCTTTCGCCTTCCTGTTTACTCACCCTCTCACTCAGAGCCAAGTCTCCGAGTACTTCTCTACGACTGATGTGCCTCCTCCCTTTCTGTTGACAAATGATTGTATTTCTGCCTCCTCTGACTAAGAAATCTTTTTCGCGACTCCTTTGGCTGAGACGAGCGTTTGCTCCTCCTCTTGTCCTCCTGCTCTCTCACTCTGTCCAACAATCAGACATCCCCTTCAATCCAGTCTTATGCAGCTCTGACTTCAAACAAACAATCGCTTGCTTCAACAGTGCTGGCGAAGCTGATCTGTTCCAGCCTACAAGGGGCCTCCTCCACGCGCCAGTGGGCGGTCCAGCAGTGGGACCTGGCGAGGATGTACGGGAAGAGCCGGTCGGCGATCATCCATGCAGCTCCTGACAGTCCATCTCAGTATCCCTCGTAGCCTCGATCACTCCATCCTCCCCTCTCTCCGCGTTCTCGGACATCACCAGACGGCTGACCACCGACCGGCTCTTCTTGATCCGAGCATCTTCAGTCCATCGAGAGGATGATCGCGTTCGGCGATCGATGGAGGAGCATGACGCGTCTCCTTGCTGCGCACTTTCACAATGACCTTGTCGTAGCACTGCCAGTGACTCATTCAGAGGACACGAAGAGAAATCGAGGTCAGCGGGACTCGGTATGATGAGCGTCGTGAAGAGCAGAGGATCGTGAGGACAATCGGTGACGATGATCCGAGTATCCGAGGGAGGAGAGACGTCGAGCGGGGAGCGGGAGCGAGGGAGAGCGGAGTTGAGCATGGTGTTCCGATTTGTGCCTGAGGACCCCTCAGGGGTGGTTAAAACCTCGTCGGAGTATGGGTGGTTCAGAGGGATTATGGACCTGGGGGAAGGGGTAGGGGGTCAGATGATTGGAAGGGGGGGGTTGTGGGGTTGGGGCTAGAGAGTCTCAATTATTGAGTAATGTTTTTACTTAAAATTAGAAAGCTCTCCGAGGGGAGCCCAGTGAACACATACAAGTGAAAAGGAGAGTATGGTAGGTTAGCGGGGGAGGACGACGGTGAAGCTAAGGACAGTCGAGACGGCGACGACGGAGATGAAGATGAACAACAACAACAAGATGATGAGGATGAGGATGATGATGATGAGCAACAAGATAATGATGATCGTTGTGTGGGCTATGATGATGTTTAGTCTGGGAGGGTGCAGAGCTCTTCTCATGCGTCGACATGGTCACCTGGCCTCAGTACCAACATGTTTCCTGGGTTATCCGATGATGAGGCCCCGGAGCCTGTCAGATCCGATGAGCTCTTGTCCTGTCTTGGGGTCGAAACTGACGCAAGAAATGCTTGTAAGTCCTGCTGGAGGGACTAGATTACCAGCGTCCACCGCAATGCGCATTTCCCTGAATCGATACCACAACTTTGACATCAGCCAGGGCAAGGTGGATGCGCTCTTTGACAAGATCGAGGAGCTGGGGATCAAGCTGGAGGAGATCGAGGAGAGCTTCGTGAGAGGGTCCGGGGCTGGAGGGCAGAAGATTAACAAGACAGCGAACAATGTTCAGATGAAGCATCTACGTGAGTTGCTGCCCTCCTGTACATGCTCGACTGATGCTTTTCATCGTAGCCACAGGGCTGCAAGTGAGCTGCCAGAGGGAGAGAGAGCGGGAGAAGAACAGGTTCATCGCTCTCCGACAGCTAGTGGAGAAGATCGAGGCGGCAAGGTCAGGGAGCGGTATGAGCAAGGACGACGCTGCGGCGATAAAGAAGAGGAAGCAAAAGGCAAGAAGGAAGAGAAGGTCCAAGTCTGCGGCTGAGAGGTGAGGAGCGCTTGAGGTGCTTGTGAGAGTGTGTTGATGCATGCTGTTTGCAGACAGGAGGGAGGGGAAGGAGAAGGAGAAAGTTACAGTGAAGACGATGACGATGTCGATGGTGAAGAAGTACGATCGTGATGAAGCATGGTTGATTTTACATGTGAACTTGGCTCTTGTCCCTCTCTACGATCTCCTAAACAACCTTCCTCTCACTCCTTCTTCAACGCCTTCACCCTTGCCTCCAACTCGACTATCTGCTGCGTTTTGGTCTTGGATCGAGAAGGGAGGTATACTCCCCAGTAGACCTTGACGCTTGTTCAGCAGACAGACAGGAAGCGAAACATTTGATATCTCACCAGCTTCAGCAAGTAGATCAGCGCACAGAGCCCGAAGTACCAGAAGAGGACGGCAGAGCACTGGGAGGGGAAAGAGTCAAGAGGAGAGGAGAGCAAGCGAGAAGGAGAGAGGATGTGGGGTGGGGAGGGGGCAGGGGGAGGAAGGAAACAATAGAGAAGGGAAGACGGAGGAAGAGGCGGGGGGGAGAGGAAATGATGGAGGAAGGGAAGAGAAAGGGGAGGGGAGGAAGGAGAGGAGAGGAGAGGAGAGGAGAGGAGAGGAGAAAGGGGAGGGGAAGGGAGGAGAAAGGGTGAGTGATGAAGAGAAGGGAGCGGAGGGAGAGGAACGGAGAGGGAGACAGCTTGAGGCAGGAAAGATGCGAGAAAGGAAAGGAGGCAAGGGCACCAGTCTCAGCACAAAGGAGGAGGCAGAGAAGGGATATGCTCGGATGGTGTAGGTGGCGGTAGAGTCGAAGATTATCTTGTAACGGACTCTTGCGATGTTGCTTGCTTCCGAAGATGCCTTGTGGACAACACAGAGTGAGTGCAAGAAGACGAGGAGGGAGGAGAGGAGAGGAGAGGCGAGGGAAGGGCAGGGCAGGACGTACAAGTGCATTGACATATGATTTCTTCCGGACAACGCGAGAAACCCAGTCGACCATCTGCTTGAAGTTGAAGGCAGTGAGCGGAAACAGCAGACAAGTCTGCGTGATGAGTTCACTGACCTCTCCGTACTGGGAGGTTCCGATCTCCGACAACTCCGGCTCTATCCTCACCACAGCTTCAAACTGTTGGAGGGTCTCAGTGGAAAGAGACGGGCCGTCAGGTACCTCTCACCGTGTACTCGTAGCCCGGGTTGAGAGAAATCCTGAGATGAAAGTTCATGATGACAGAGAAAGAAAGCAACTAGCTCGCTTGTCTTTCCAACAAAGAAAACCTCTCCCCCTCCCCCTCTCCTCCCTCTGCCCTCCCTCCCTGCTCGCTCACTCTCCTCCCTCTCTTCTCTTCCTCATGCGTTACCCTTTCATATCAGCTGCTGTTGAGATCGAGTCCAACGAAAAATCGATGGTGAGAGGGTGAAAGTCTTCTACTCTCGTCAGCTGCGCCTGCGATGAGAATGACGTGAGATGAGGAGAGTTGCACGTCGTACCGGGGGGAGAGGAGGAGAGGAGGAGAAGAGGAGAGGAGAGGAGAGGAGGGGAGAGGAGGGGAGGGGAGAGGAGGGGAGGAGAAGAAGGGGAGGAGGAGGACGTGCAAGAGGAAGTAGAAGAAGGCGAGGAGGAGTAGGAGGACAAGGAAGAAGAGGAGGAGGAGGAGGAGGAGGAGGAGGAGCGAGGAGGAGGAGGAGGAGGAGGAGGAGGAGCGAGGAGGCGGGGGCGGGGCGAGGGGAGGGGGGTTCAGTTCGACCGTTCGTCAGTCTTTCCA